TAAGAACATAGTCCGCAGGCCAATCAACTTGGGCGCAGCCATAGCAATGAAGGATGCCAACGGAGGAACTGGTCACCTTTTGGGGCTAGTCGAGAACATTCCTCTGAAGCTCGGCCACATCAGCACGCCAATCAATGCCTTCATTGCAGAGAACCCTCCGTTTGATGGTCTACTCGGACGACCTTGGCAGCAGGCTCACAAGATCTCAATCGTTGAGAAGCCTGATGGCACGTATCTGGAGTTCCCGCCGACCTCAGGATATCCCAAGTCAGAGATGCTTGTTGACCCACTCCCCAGTATGCCGTCAATGCCAGCATCAGAAGTCCCAGGAGTCTACGCCACCATCAAGGAGTGGACAGCCGATGACATTGTAGGACCCATCCAGGACATCGACCTCGCATCAGACAGCAGTGCCTCTGACACCTCAGACAGTTCAGATGACCTGCCCGACTTGGTCACTGACTCAGAGAGCAGCTCGGATGATGATGAGTCCATCAGAACCCCGTCAAATGACTTTGATGATGAGGATAGTCCATTCCTCAATCCTGACACCGACGATGCCGGCTACGATGCAGACGACGAGGTCATGGAGAGGTCATGGCACACCCGGATCCTTCCGCCACGAGGAGACATTATGGTTCCACTAGCTGGACAGCTGAACACGGTCATAACACAACCACCGAGCATGAGAGAAGCACCTCAGACACCACAGTTCAGTCGCATCTCACAGACCGGACCGACCACAGTTGCCGCGCACCACTCGTTTATGTTCCATGACACCACACAAGAGGAGTTCACCACATTCCTCCTTCCCAACGCCTCTCTTAGCAACCAATTCGGAAGCTACCGTGGACATGTGCTTATCAGCATACTGCCATCCCAGCCAGTACAGCCAAGGGTACCTGTAAACTCGATCACGATTGGAAGTGTAGTCCCGATGGGCCGTCATCACATGCATTATCTGCCACAGCCTCCACCGCTCATCATCCTACGGATTACCATTGGTCACTTGGAGATACCGTTCCTATTGGACACAGGATCACAGGTAGACTGCATCCACACGGACATATACAAGGCTCTGGGAGGATCACTCCATTGGCCCCGCCACAACCTTCGGCTCATTAATGCAAATGGACAGCCACTCAAAGACCGAGGAGTTTGGAGGACACCACTCAAGTTTGGGAGCATCACATCTGTCACGGATCTCCATATCGTCGACAACCTCACCACACCAGGCATTCTTGGCCAGCCATGGCAGCACCGTAACCAGATGTGGTTCCGCCATTCCGCTGATGGAGTCATGATTGGAGTTCAATCTCAGGATGGCCGGAAGACATACGAACTTCTCCTCTCGTCGCTGCAAGCTCAGCAGATGGCATGGCATCGGGCAGCACAGATGTGTGCCTCTATCAGAAGAGAAGATCCGGACATACCCGTGATGGACTTCTCTGAGACACACCGCCTCCGCGAGATGATGGACCCAACCAAGAAGGATGTAGGCACACAGACGGATGGAACAGACACACGTGCACTTTCAACCATAGCCGAAGAAGCTGGAGAAGAGGACAACATTGAGGCAGACCCGTATGTTCCATCGTACCGGGACCCGTGGGACGTAGACCTCAAGTCACCCCATGAGGATGGTCCAAGTGACGCCACCATTGAGAACCGGATGTATCGCGACCTGCTCATCAAGTACCTTGTGGATCATAAGCATGACCAAGACAAGGCCAAGCCATTCGTAGACATCCCGGAGGTTCTCTCAGCAGACCGAATGATCCTCAATGAGTCCTGGAAGACATATGGTGTAAAGAACGAGGAGCTATTCCTGCTACGGAACATGCTTATCAAGGTTGACGGAGTGTACCGAGAAGGCCATGCTGCCCTGCACATGATTTACTTCCCACACACAACAGAACGTGTCAAGGAAGCGGAAGCAGTGGACCGTGCAGTTGCACAGAAATCCAGTGACTCCCTTGTACTCAGCGAGCACAACTCGCCTGTGTCATCGGAATCACGCTTCCTCCCGCACCTAACCCAGATGGACATAGAGGAGTTTATGGATGAACTCGAGGCAGATGAACTTAGTGCACACCGACAGCGAGTCAAATGGGTCACCGCACCAGAGGCAGAAGTCTCAGTCTCGCAGACTCTCACCTCACAGACCCTTGACGACCTCAGCATGACAGCCGACACGGACACCGCAGACTCGGACCATAGCATGGATGATGACTGGGAAGATACCACATCCAACGGAGAAGTCGCCTCACTCGCTGAAGCACGGAGTACTCCGCCCGTACCACCGAACTCCCCAGCTCTATAGACCCGCAGTGTTCACCGTGCCCCATCGCGATGCAACCATCTATCGCAATGGAAGCCACTGATGACACACCCGTATTCGAGAGGACACCCAGTGTGCATTCATTGCGAGGGAGGGTTACAGGGAGAAGAGACAGGACAACACAGACAAGCAGACCCGAGCATCACGCA